CCAGGAGTTGGAGGTTGCTGTGAGCTGTGATGCCATAGCACTCTATCCAGGGGGACAGCTTGAGGCTCTGTCTCAAAAAAAAAAAAAAAAGAAAGAAAAATGGGTAAGTGATTTGAATAGACATTTCTCAAAAGAAAACAAATGGCCAAAAAATATAGGAAAAAAGTGCTCAACATCACTAATCATCAGGGAAATGCAAATGAAAACCACAATGAGGTATCATCTCTCCCCAGTTAATATGACTATTATCAAAAAGACAAAAAATAACAAATACTGGTGAGGATACAGAGAAAAAGGAACTTTTTTTTTTTGAGACAGAGTCTCACTATATCACCCTTAGAGTACCATGGCATCACAGCTCACAGCTTAAGCTATTGGGCTTAAGTGATTGTCTTGCCTCAGCCTCTCAAGTGGTGTGTTTTGTCCGCCACAACCCCCAGGTAAAAAGGAACTCTTAATCACTGTTGGTGGGAACGTAAATTAGCACTGCCTCTATGGAAAACAGTATGGAAATTTTGCAAAGAACTAAAAATGGACCTACCATATGATCCAGCTACTAGGAAAATCCTGACTAAATGCTAACATTTGATAATCCTGAGATTTCTAGTCAAAACCAAACTTCCAGTTTCTCACAGGAAGATGCAGAAGCTCTTTGAATTTATTCAAAGGAAAGGAATAATTCTATCAAAGAGACACCTACACTCCCATGTTTATTGCAGCAGTCTTCACCACAGCCAAAATGTATCAACCTGGGTGTCAAACAACAGATGAGTGGACAAAGAAAATGTGTATGTATATGTATATATGTATATGTGCATACAATACAATTCGGCCATAAAAATGAAATCCTGTCCTTTCTGGCAACATGAATGGAACTGGAGAACATTGTGGTAAGTGAAATTAGCTAGAAAGGAAGTTAAACACCACAGTTCTCACTTATATGTGGAAGCTAAAAAAATTTGATCTTATAGAAGTGAAAATTAGGGCAAAGGCTGGGAAGGGTAGTGGGAAGAGAGGGTTAGGGCGAGATTGTTAAAGGATACAAAATTAGCTGAGCTCATGCCTGTAACCTGAACACTCTGGGAAGCCTAGGTGGGTGGATTACCTGAGCTCAGGAGTTGGGAGACAAGCCTTAGCAAGAGCCAGACCCCATCTCTACTAAAAGTAGAAAAACTTAGCTGAAGAGTTCGAGGTTGCTGTGAGCTATAATGGCATGGCACTTTACCCAGGGCAACAGACTGAGACTCTCTCAAAAAGAAAAAAAATTGCAGTTAAATAGGAAGAATAAGTTCTAGTGGTCTATACCTCTGTAGGCTAAAACTATACTTAACAATAATAAATTCTTTCAAATAGCTAGAGGATATCGAACTTCCCAACACAAATCAATGATAAATGGTTGAGATTACGGATATGCTAATTGCCCTGATATATACATTATATATTGAAACACTGTGTACCTTACGATTGTCAATTTAAAAAGATTTAAAAAGGGTGGCACTTGTAGCTCAGTGGGTAGGGCACCAGCCTCACATACTGAGGGTGACAGGTTTGAAACCGGCCTCGGCTACACTGCAACAAAAAATGGTTGGGTGTTGTCGCGGGTGCCTGTAGTCCCAGCTACTCGGGAGGCTGAGGCAAGAGAATCGCCTAGGCCCAAGAGCTGAAGGTTGCTGTGAGCTGTGACACCACCACTCTCCACCAAAGGTGATAGAGACTGTCTCTAAAAAATAAATAAATAAATAAGAGACTTAGACCCTTATTAAACAACCTAATGTAATTTTTTGAGGCAATAGGGGAGGCTGAACACGTAGGTATTACATGATGTTAAAGAATTAACTTTAATGAAGAATGTGATAGTATTTTTAAAAGTCCTTATCTGTTAGAAACAAACACTTAAAAGCCAGGCATGGTGGCTCACTTCTGTAATCCTAGCACTATGGGAGGCTGAGGTGAGTGGACTGTTTGAGTTCAGGAGCTCCCAGACCAGCCTGAGCAAAAGCTGGAGTCCCATCACTACTAAAAATAGAAAATCTAGCCCAGTCTTGTGGTAGGCACCCACAGTCCCAGCTACTTAGGAGGCTCAGACAAGAGGATCGCCTTAGCCCAAGAATTTGAAGTTGCTGTGAGCTATGATGAAGCCACCACTTCACCTAGAGCGACAGAGTTAAGACCTTTTTTTTTTTTTTAAAGATACACACACTTGAAGTATTTATACGTGAGATGACATGATGTCCAAGATTTGCTTTAACATACAGAAAAAAAAGGCAGAAAGGGACAGATAAAGCAAGAAAGGCAGAAAGCTGATTGTTGCTGAAACTGGATCATGAGTATAGTTATCCCTCAGTTTCCACAAGGGTTCGTTTCTGGACCCCCCACAGCAAAGTCGGCAGACTTTGCTCAAGTCCCTTATGAAAGTTCATTTTAATTATTCTGTCTACTTTTATGTGTTTGGAAAATGTCTTGGTAAAACATTAAAAATAGTCTCAGTGCCTGTGGCTCAAGTGGCTAAGGCGCCAGCCACATACACCTAAGGTGGTGGGTTCGAATCCAGCCCTGGCCCGCCAAACAATAATGAGGGCTGCAACCAAAAAATAGCCAGGCATTTTGGTGGGCACGTGTGGTCCCAGCTACTTGGGAGGCGGAGGCAGAAGAATCACTTGAGCCCAAGAGTTGGAGGTTACTGTGCGCTGTGATGCCTCAGCACTCTACCCATGGGGATAGCTTGAGACTCTGTCTCAAAAAAAAAAAAATTAAAAAAAATTAAAAACAAAGTTCCAACGTTCCTTTGCTCTAACTCCACGCCCAATAAGTAACTTTCTGGTTTGTTTTTCACTTTCCTGCGCATACAGAAAGTGTAACTAGGGGATGTAAACAATCCCCATCACCCTACTCATTCCATGTTTTCCTCCTCCTCTTTTCTTCAATTTAATTAGGCCAGATTTTCAGGGCCGGCTTGTTCTGAGTTTTTTCAAAAAAATTAAAGAGGCAGAATGAGGCAGAGAAGCTGTGAATGACGTGGGCAAGAATAAACAGGGACATCAAATAACCCAAACATGCAGAATGTCCTACTGGATTCGGACAGATAGTGCAAACCATCAACTTGACTGCTGAATGGGGCCATTCCATCAGACAGAAGGTGAGCTAAACGCTAACATTTGATAATCATGAGATTTCTGGTCAAAACCAAACTTCCAGTTTCTCACAGGAAGATGTGGACCTCTGGTAGTAATGGGTTTTTGGTCCCCACTTAAGAAATGCCAGCTCCAGGAGGCCTGACAAGGTGGGTTCTCAAATGTCATGGAGTGTCGTTCTGGGTTCTGCCTCGGTTCTCACAGGCCAAGTAGGCAAGCTAAAAAAGACTTTTTCTTCGTTTTTAATATGGAAGGCGCTCGAAAGCCCATGCTGAGAAACCCCCACGCAAACTTCAGGTCATCGGAGCCAACAAGCTTAGCCCGGTTGGGTCTGACATCTTTAAGGAGCTCTGCCACCCAAACCAATACAAGACACGAGGACAGGCGTCACTGTGCGGTCGCCTTTGCTCGCTGAGGCGACGCCAGCGCGCAGGCGTCAAGAGCCGCAGTTGGGGCGGCGCGCAAGAGTGCACCCGGTCCCCCGGAAACCTGGGGGACGCTGGCGTTACTGCGCAGGCGCCCTTCCTCTCGTGGCGTAGGGTCGCTGGGCAAGCGCGCAGGCGCGCGGTAGTGCGCTGGGGCGGTGCACTGTGGTGTACCGAGTGCGGGTGGAGGGAGGGCGCTCCGGTACAGGCAGCCGGTCCAGGGCTGTTGCGCGGCATACTAGGATGGCGCGCAGGCGCAGAGCGGTGCGCAGGCGCGTCGTGGGTGAGGCGAGATGGCAGGTGCCGGAGCCAGGCTGCTGCCTGTAATGGGGCGGCTGGCTCTGCTGCTTCTCGCGTTGTGCACCGCGGGCGCCTGGGGGCTCTACTTTCACATCGGCGAGACGGAGAAGCGCTGCTTCATCGAGGAAATCCCCGACGAGACCATGGTCATCGGTCAGGCGGGCTGAGGGTGGGAAGGCCCTTTGTCTACCGCCTGGCCCTTGGCATTGCCCTTTTCTCTCGCGCCCGGCCAGATCACCCCACCACGACCTGGTCTAAAGGGTGCCCTGAGTCCGCCAGGCCCCCTGCCCAGTGTCCCAGGCTGCACTTTGGAGGGGGTTGGGCCGAGTCATGACTGTGTGTCTGCCCCGCAGGCAACTATCGCACCCAAATGTGGGATAAGCAGAAGGAGGTCTTCCTGCCCTCAACCCCTGGTCTGGGCATGCATGTGGAAGTGAAGGACCCTGACAGCAAGGTAAGCCGCCGTGGGAGGTGCTTTTACCGGCATGAAGCTGTTCTTAAGTGGAGCTCCGGAAGAGTGTGAAGCTCTGCCTGGGTCCTGAGTCGAGGCCCTGGGGGACAAGAGCTTGCACTTCGAAAGGCTGTAGTAAAAGTGGGGCCTTCCTTGCGTGTTGCAGGTGGTGCTGTCCCGGCAGTACGGCTCTGAAGGTCGCTTCACGTTTACCTCCCACACTCCCGGTGACCATCAGATCTGCCTGCACTCAAACTCTACCAAGATGGCTCTCTTTGCTGGTGGCAAACTGGTAAGAGGATTTTCTCAGCTTGGAATCTCTGGCTTGTTTCCAAATTTTGATTTTTTGGTAACATTTGTGACACTTTGTCTCACAGTCAGAATTGAGGAGACAGATCTTGCCTTTTGCCCCCCCAGCCAAGGACTGTGTTGGTCCATAGACTGGCACAGGTGATCAGCGGCCCCACCTCTCAGATACTTCTCGTTTACTTGTAGCGTGTGCACCTGGACATTCAGGTTGGGGAGCACGCCAACAACTACCCTGAGATTGCTGCTAAGGATAAGCTGACCGAGCTGCAGCTCCGTGCCCGACAGTTGCTTGATCAAGTGGAACAGATTCAGAAGGAGCAAGATTACCAAAGGGTAAGGGCGTGTCTCAATGCACTTTATACTTTATTTTATTTTATTTTTTTTTTTTGAGACAGAGCCTCAAGCTGTCCCCCTGGGTAGAGTGCCATGGCATTACAGCTCACAGCAACCTCCAACTCCTGGGCTCAAGCGAGTCT